ATCGGGTGACTGGCACACCGATCTCCAGGCTCTACAGTTGTAACTTCCTCTATCTATAATTACATTAAAATAGAAAGCTAAAAGAAAAAAAGAGCTCGGTGGTGCAGGTGCCGAGGCAGAAGAATCACAAATTCAAGGACCACTTGGGCAGCAAAGTAAGTTCAAAGCCATCCTGAGTAACAGACTGCCACAAAATTTAAACATTAAAAGTAGACTTTGGGTGTAGCTCAACAATAGTATGCTTTCCTAGAATCTGCCAGTCCCATTGAGGGGCTGGGGTGTAGCTCAGTGGTAGAGCCCCTGCCTAGAATCTCCCAGTGAGGGCCTGGGCTGTGACTGACTCAGTGGTAGAGCCCCTGCCTAGAATCTCCCAGTGAGGGGCTGGGGTGTGGCTCAGTGGTAGAGGCCCTGCCTAGAATCCCCCAGTGAGGGGCTGGGGTGTGGCTCAGTGGTAGAGCCCCCACCTAGAATCTCTCAATTTGGCAATGAGATGGTAGAGGTGTGGCTCTTCTGAGAAGTCAGTAGTGAGGGGCTGGGAATGTGGCTCTGTGGTAGCATACTTGCGTTGCTTGTAAGGGGTCCTAGGTTTAATATCCCAATTAAGAGAGAGGCAAAGAAAGGGAGAAAAATAATAATAAAACGAAACTCTGATTTTAGAGTGGAGCTAAAGCCCAGGCACTCGGGTCACAACCTCCTCAGGGAGACTCTTGGAACTGAACCCATCTCGGGCCCTAGCAGGAAATCTGGGCCTTCTGCCTCCCAGGGTGCTGAGACTGTGCACAGTCCTGTCACCAGAGGAAGTTAGGCAACAGGTCATGGATGCTTCGTGGTAGCCAAGGGCTACTAGAGAATTCCAGGGCATGGAGGCAGGACTCCCAGGAACAGCAGCTTTGATATCATCGCTTTTCCTTCCAATGAGATAAATGGTCTCCACTGAAGGTGACTGGGCTGTCGGTTCCTCCCCCAGGGAAGCCACGGAGCCAGGCAAGTGAGAGAGCACAGGGAGGCTCTCCAGAGCTGGTAGGGAGCCCCAAGCCCCTGGGCAGGACTTTGGGATGAGAATACTGTCGGTGCCCACCCACCCAGGGTTTACATCATGCATGTGGCATGCTCCACAACATACAGAGAGCAGCACATACGTGTGGCAAACAGACCAGGGTTTAGATTCCACTCTCCATCTGTCTGCTGTGACATCCCTGTATCTGGTCTAAGGACAGTGATGACGTTAGTGTGATCAATCTCATAGGAGTATTCCGTGGTCACCCTTTCCAAATCACAAGCGTGTGACCCACTTTCCGTGTGTCTGTTGTCACTTTGTACAGGTGCTCTGGAGAAGGGAGCTGCCGCTGCTGTGAATATCGCCACCTGCTCTGCTGACTGTCACAACATGGTAGCTGTTATGTCACCACAGGCTCATATTTTGAACACTCAGTCTCCAGTTTATGGTGCTATTTTGAGAGGCCATGCCCGGAGCTTTAAGGAGATGGGGTCTAATGGGCAGAAGCAGGACACTAGAGGTGGGTCTTGAAGGTTACACCCAAGCCCTGGCTCCAGTCTCACTTCCTATCCTCCGGGTCCTCCAACAACGCCACACCTTCCCCACCATGATGGACTGGAATCTCTTTGAAACTATCAGCCAAAGCAACCCTTTCCTCCCTTGTGCTGTTGCTGTGGGTATTTGCTCACAATGACAGATCACACCTGTAATCGGACATTTCCTGTCCTGACCGCCTGTTTCCAATACCCGGCAGCCACTTCCCAGATTACCACATAGAGGCTTATATTAACTATAAATGCTAGGCTAATAGCTCAGGATTATCACTAACTAGCTCTTACATTTAAAGTTAACTCATATTCTTTATTTATGCTCTGCCACGTGGCAGTGCCTTTATTAGCATGGCATGTCCATCTCCTGCTCCCTCTACATCTGGCTGGCAAGTCTCTGACTCTGCCCTTCCTCTTCCCAGAATTCTCCTAGTCTGGCTCTTGAACTCAGTCTCTTCTTGCCTAGCTATTGGCCAATCAACTTTTCATTAACAATGAGTATAATCCACAGCACACACCTCTGACTACTGAGTTGGATAGAAAGACCCTTAAGAATAAAACATTACTTCCCATTCACTTCCCAGGGAAGATAGTTCAGGGAGATTGAACTTTGGGGTGATGAGGGAACTCTTCCCTGCCTGCTGCCCTGCCTGCTGCCCTGCCTGTGAGGGGTGGTGACCACCTCTTGTACAGGAAGCAGATGAAACCAAGAGTGGGGATGATGGGGACGAATGAATGTGGGTACTTCTTGACTGTGAGTCTCTATCCCACCCCATTGTTGCCAGAGCCCAGCTCTGCTTAGCCATCATATCCCAGGGAAAGTTCTAGATGTAGACATTGGTGGCCTGTAGCCTTCTTAAAGGCGAGGGTAGCCGAGGTGCCTGCCTGGGTCCCGTATCTAGGATAGGGGCAGGTCAGGGATGAATTGCACCATCTCAACCCAATGTAACTCGGGAGATATGACATTAGAATCCAGACTATTGTGCTGCTCAGACCACGGCACCTGCAGTTCCTCTGCTCTCACAGACACCCACAGGCAGCACCGCGACTGTCTGAGGATCTCCGATGAACAAACATCCAGGTGTTCGGATCCTTCACCTGGGAAGTGAGTTTATATCAATGCAGGTACAGCCAGCCACACATCCTGCTCCCTACCTCTCCCCTCCTTCGGGCTGCCTGGGAATCAGAGGTCCTGGCTGCAGGGTTGTACTGTGAAGCTCCCTTCCTCAGAAAGCTATGATAAGGTATGTGGGTCTGATTCCTCTCTTCGGGGATTCCAATGTGCTGTCTGTCTCTCACTTGGGAGCCTGAACTCAGAGTCCCTGATATGTTGTCTGTCTGTCTGTTTGTCTGTCTATTCATGGCATTAAGCCCTTCTAATAAACTTCTTACCCATGATAATCCATCTCAGTGTACATCTTGAACTTGTGTCCAGGACCTCTCAAATGGGGCCAGAGGCACAAAGAGGCCCGTGCCATAACCATGGTTTGGCACTGGGTGTCCTCTGTCTAGGACATGCAGTTCGGGCTTCCCAGTCTCTGAGACCAAGAGACCTCCTTGGTCAGCCCCTCCTCCAGTCAGCCCCGCCTCATCCCTGGCTAGGTCTAGGGCTGTAAGTCACTGTGCTCTGGTTTCCACTCCTGTTCGCTAGGTATTTCTCAAGGTAGGGACGCCAGCAGCCTCTCCTGTCCCCAGAAATGGCCCAGACATGGCCAGAGGAAACCACTCAACCCCATTCCTCTCTTTCTTGGCATCCAAGGAAGCAGCAGGGGCCATTCTGGACTGTTCTCTCTTCTGGCGGGCATTCTAGGTCCCATTAGTTCCTCCTCCATGGTCCTGACCCCCTTGTTTCCTTTCTCCATCAATGACCATGAACTCTCAAACTCTCTGTCCACATCTGCCAGTCGGTCTTCAAAACCCTCCGAACATTCTCCCAAGTGTCCTGATCTGCCCACCCTGCTCATAGTAAAATCTTCATCCTGCCCATGACTTTCACTGTACCCACTGTTCTGATCCCCTTGAACAGTTATGCCTGCTCCATCTCTCTGCTCAGACACAATGATTCCCTTCTTCCACAACTACAATGACATTTTGGCCTTGAGGCTTTGCCCTTGGCGGTGGCTCTCCTTAGAACTTCCTTTTCCAAAAATGAGCTGCACTGCCTCTCTTTCCTCCCAGGCTCCACCCGAACAGCCCCTCTCCCTAAAAGCTCAGCCTTCTGTGACACACCTGGCATTGCATCATTTTGGCACCATGTCAGTGTCCTCACTATCTGTAGAGGAGCCAAGGGACACCTGCTCATCTGAGTGTCCCCTGTCTCCTTACACTGTCAGCTCCCAGAGGTTGGGAGGGGCTGTTTCGGGGCCTGGCACTGGCTCACTAATCAAGTGTGACACTCTTCTGGGGTTCAAGAGATGTGTGGAGGAAGTCCCAGGCCTGACTTCTGGTCCTGCTAGGGCATCTCATGGGACGTCAGCCTCCTGAGAGATGGCCTTAGGGCGTGAATGTGAAAACTCTCCCACGGGCTCCGGTGTTTGTTTATCAATTTTATTCTTGTTTTAGGATCATGTGTTTGAACACTCTGTCCCCAGATGTTGGCACTCTTTTTGGAAGGATATGGAACCTTCGAAGTCCTGACCCAGCTATCAGAAGTGCCTCCTGTGGTCTCTCAGGGCAACGCTTGAAGGTTTGTTTCTGGTTCAGGTCCACCATGTGCTCCCGCCGTGACAAGCATGGCCCCGCCTTCCCTGCCATGACATTCTGAAACTGAACAGAAAGAAGCCCTTCTGCCCTTACAGTGCTTCTGCCAGGGGTTTGTCACAGCTATGAAAGAAGTAACTGATACAGGTGATTTTTTTTGTTTAACTTTGGAGGTTTGTTCACAGCCTTCATCTCTTCAGCCGAGTCCATAAATGACCTGAAATGTTTCCATTTATTATGTTTTTGTTGTTTTAAACCAAATCACATGAGAGGCTGGAGAGATGGCGCAGCAGTTAAGGGCACATACTGATTTTTTTTTAATATTTATTTAATTATTATGTATACAATATTCTGTCTGTGTTATGCCTGAAGGCCAGAAGAGGGCGCCAGACCTCTTTACAGATGGTTGTGAGCCACCATATGGTTGCTGGGAATTGAACTCAGGACCTTTGGAAGAGCAGGCAATGCTCTTAACCACTGAGGCATCTCTCCAGCTCCCGCACATACTGATTTTGCAGTGGATTTGAGTTTAGTTCTCAGCACCCAGCTTAGGCAACTCACAACCACCTGCAGCTCCAGCCCCAGGAGCACTGACCACCTCTTATGGCCTCCGTGGGTACACGTACAGACAAGCAGGCAAGCACACAGACATATAAAAGTAAATCAATCCTTTAAAAATTCAACTCTGGCCTCCTTCAGTGCGGACCTGGTGCCTCTTTTGTGAAGCGGCAGCTGAGGCGACTCCAGCGTTGGCCATGGCCAACGAGAAACCCAAGGAAGGAGTCAAGACCGAGAACAATGAACATATTAATTTGAAGGTGGCAGAGCAGGATGGCTCTGTGGTGCAGTTTAAAATTAAGAGGCATACACCACTTAGTAAACTAATGAAAGCCTATTGTGAACGACAGGGTTTGTCAATGAGGCCGATCAGATTCCGGTTTGATGGGCAGCCAATCAATGAAACAGACACACCTGCACAGTTGGAAATGGGGGATGAAGATACAATTGATGTGTTCCAGCAGCAGACGGGAGGTGTCTACTAAAAAGGGAACCTGCCACTTTACTCCGGAATTTTGTTATAGACCAAGAATACATTTGCAATTAGAAAGCCGCAGCTTGGCTCCACCACATCCTGACTACTACAATAGTTTTCTCTATCCTTTCATTTCCTGTCCCCATTTCTTTATTGCACATAAAGTAACTGGTGTATGTGCACAAGCATACTGCGCTTTTCTTTCTTTCTTTTTTCATTTTTAAACTAGATGGCCCATGTTCTGTTTTGATTGACAGCAGATGGAGGTGGTCTGGGGGAAAGTATTGGCTCTGTGAATATACCCCCCTGCTCCATCAGTGGCACACTCATTCAGCTCTTATCTTTATATTCCAGGAAGTTATTTTGCTCTCAGTGTTTTTTTTAATATTTTTATGCATTATTTAACTTTATTTTATGTGCATTGGTGTGAAGGTGTCAGATCCCCTGCAACTGGATCTTCAGACAGTTGTGAGCTGCCATGTGGGTGCTGGGAATTGAACCCAGGTCCTCTGGAAGAGCAGTCAGTGCTCTTAACCACTGAGCCATCTCTCCAGCCCTGCTCTCGATGTTTTAACAAAAGAACCCAACCACAAAATCCTTGCACACCTTGTTCGATTGGAGAATTTTAATGTTTTTCATTTATCATTGTAAAACCAAGGACAATTTTATAACTTTTTTGTACGTAGCTGTTACATGTAGGGCAATCTGTCTTTAAGTAGGGATAAATTACTCTTGAACAAAATGATCCTAGATAGTTTTCCCTTCAAGTCAAGCGTCTCATTGTTTAAATAAACTTGTTTAAAATGAAAAAAAAATCAACTCTGTATTGTATTGTAACACCATCTTACTACATAGCCCGACTTGACTTCGAGCTCAGATCCTCCTGCCTCAGCGCCCTGAGTGTTTGGATGACTAGAACGCACCACCACACCCAATTTTCTTTTGGTTTGGTTTTAACTTTTCTTTCTCTTTTATTTGTTTGTCTTATTTGGTGTATATGAGTGTTTTGCCTGAATGTATGTCTATATACTGTGCTGGATCCCCTGGAACTGAAGTTACGGATGGTTTGACTTGTGCCGCCACCATGGATGCTGGGAACCCAGGTCCTCTGCCTGAGCAGCTAGTGCTCTTAATCACTTAGCCATCTCCCCAGCCCCTTAACCTTTCTTTCTTAACTGGGTCTCTTCCTGTGCTTTTATTGCTTAAGCAATCACTGTTTCAGCAGGCTGCTTTTGTTCCGACAGAGGCTAAATGAGGCAGCAACAAGGACATCCTTTCTAGATAATCTCCCGAACTAGCAGGGCTCGTGACCAGTGGTTCTCTCAGCCTGTGGGTCAGACCTCTTTGTGGGGACAAATGACCCTTTCCCTGGGGTGGCATATCTGGTATCCTGTGTATCCAATATTTACGATTCATAAATCATAGCAAGATTACAGTTATAAAGCAGCAACGAAATAATTTTATGGTTTGGGCTAACCACAGCATGAGGAGCTTATTAAAGGGCCACAGCATTAGGAAGGTTGAAAACCACAAAAGCAGCCTTAAGGGAGGATGAGAACCACAGGCCCAGACTGCAGCTGCTAGGGCAGAGGTTATCCCGCTAACCCTAGTTATTGATATGGCTCTTTTCCCAAGGGCAAAGTCCTCAGGATGCCACTTTACCAAGCCAGACCAGCTGGAGCCAGGGTCTGTTCGTAAGGTGTGTCAGGGTGTGCCCACTAGTGTATGCTGTACTTGTGGGAATTGGAGCAAACTTCCACGCCAGCTGTCTCAAAAGACGCTGGTTTATTCTCAGACTCACCTTGCCGCCTGCCCTTGTTTTAACTACTGGTGTTGGGAGTTGAGACAGGGTCTTCTTATGTAGTCCAGCTGGCCTCAGACATACTTTGTAGTTTGAGGTTAGCCACAAACTCATGGTGATCCTCCTGCCTCAGCTTCTGAGAGCTGGGATTGTAAGTATGCGTCACCACACCGGATTTAGAGCCTGAGATTTTACAAGCTGTCCTACCGCTTGTGGGGAAGGGTCTTGACAAAGATGGAACTCTCCTGCAGGTCCCCTGGCCCCTAAAACCCCAAGTCTCACTTGGGTTCTGTGCTCCGAAAGTTCCACATGTCTCCTTACATCCAAGTCTGATGAGCTGCAGTTCAGTCTTGTGTCTGAGCCCGGTCCCTTCATGTCCTTGACCCTGAAAGACTAAGACTATGGGAGTGGAGAAGACCCAGGACCCTGTGCATTGCTAGTGGTTCGAACCAAAGTGTCAGGGTAGCCCAGTGGTGACAGAGTGGCCAAAGAGACAGAGCCTGTGACTCAAAACTGGACTCTAAAGGTACCAGCGAATGGGGAGATTCAAAGAAGCTACTTAAACCTCCCAGGCTCAGATACTCCTGCTCTTCCAACACCAGAGACCATCAGCTTTCACAGACAGCAGCCACGTTTGAGTCTTACAGTGAGGGTGGGGAAGGGGATGAATTTGCCTTCCTATTAAGTTCCCAAATCCAAACACTGCTGGCTTCCCCGAGGCCCCTCCACAAGGTTATAGAGCAGTAGCAGCTGTTGGGGAGAGGAGACTCACTGCCCAGTCATGCTGCCTCCAAGTCTTGAGACAATGCAGCTTTTGTGAGACATGGCCCATGCTGGGATGGATTGTTCAGGGGTGCAGTTATCTTTGAGTAACTCAATTCACTGAGCTGGGGTCAGATCGTTTGGTCTGTCCCGGCCGCCCTATCGAGGGTGTATAAATGTCTGTCCGCATCTCCCCATAAATAGCCACACACTTTTCACAGGCCTTTTCCTGGGGGTCTCAGCCCTTCTCAGAACAGCCCTGTCTTTGTAAACTGGGACCTAACATTTGTTTGGAAAGCTGAAGGCTTGAAGTGCAGTGTAGTGGTGAGGGACCTCAGTGCAGCCAACACACACTGGTGAGATGCTAGGTCTGTCTATGGTTCCCACCTTAACCACAAGGGCCACAGAGTAAGGGAGGGTAAGGTAAAGCCAGCAGGGTGCTGGCCGCCAGGAGTGGTGGGGACTGAGGCATATGGGGAGCCTGCATGATCCTTAGATGACATCCAGGCAGCAGACCAGGACGAGTCTGTGGCTTGTCAGTCGTGAGCTCAGGATCTTGCCCCCACACAGGGCCCAGCAGAGGGAAAGGAAAAGCTCTGAGATCATTCCAGACACAAGATGACCGATGCCCATGGTGGTTCCTCTTCACTGTCAGTGTGACTGGATTTAGAATAGCCTAGGAGACACACCTCTGGATAGAGCTACAAGGAATTCCCAGAGGGTTTATTCGAGGGGGGGACGACCTACCCTGAATGTGATAGTGTCACACCATGGGTTGTGGTCCTGGGCTGGATAAAAAGAAACTTCTTCCTGACCGACTGTAATGTGAGCAGCCACCTCGGGTTCCCACTGCCGCGCCTTCCCTGCCATGATGGACTGTACCCTCAAACCAGGAGCCAAAATAACTTTAAGCTGCTGGGGTGGTGTGAATGAAAACGGTTTCCTATAGGCTCATGGACTTGGACACTTGGTCCCCAGTTGGTGATGCTGTTTGTGGAGGTGATGGAGAACCTTAGGGGAGGAAGCAGAGCACTGGGGGGGGGGCAGCTTTGAGTGGAGCCTTGCCCCACTTCCTGTTGTCTCTCTCTGTCTCCTGTGTGTGTGGAAAACAATGTGACCAGCCAGCTTCCTGCTCCTGCCATCATGTCTGCTGCCAAGTGTCTCTTCCCATGATGAACTCTGTACTGGAACCATAAGCCAAAAGAAGCCCTTTCTTGGGGCTAGAGAGATGGCTCAGTGGTTAAGAGCACTCACTGCTCATCTAGAGGACCCAGGTTCAATTCCCAGCACACACACCACAGCTCACAATTGTCTGTGACTCCAGTTCGGGGGGCGGGGGGGGATTTGATGACTTCTTCTGACTCTGCAGACCCCACATACACGCATGTAAAACACACATACACATAAAATCAAGAAGAATAAAGCTTTAAAAACAAATAAAGGAACAAACCCTTTCTTCTCAAAGTTGCTTTTGGTCATGAGATTCTCTCACAGTTACAGAAGCGTAACTACCTAAGTTGTTTTTGCCTACTATTTTGTTGCTGTCATGAGAAAAATAACTGATACACCCCTTTCCTCCAAAGGATGGGTCTAGACTGGTATGTGACATTAGGACATTTATTTTATGTCCCTTTTGTACAGGTCCCAGGGCCAGGTAGGGGGACAGGAGACAAGGAAAGGGACTGCAATAAATAACATGGACAGACAGAACGCCCCTCTAAACAGCTGAGGTTAAAAGGGGGTAGAGGGGAGCTGTAATATGGGCATGGTACGTTGACATGGAGGAACAGCAGGGAAGGAGGGGGAGGCCAGACCCCCAGGACCTCACTATCTCCTGCCCTGCCCCTTCCTGCCCTCACCCCTACCACTTTCAAGAGGAAGGGAGCCCACAGCCAGTGGGGGCCAGCGAAGGTCCTGATGAGGGGGTGAGCCACAGGGCCAGCCCCCCAGCTTCACTTGACTCGGATTTCGGCGTACTCAGCCAGTTCCTCTGTCAGGGTGTAGCTGTCCTTGGTGGGCTGTTTACCCAGGTCTGAGTGGGAATAACTGAGGTCCAGCTCTGGGGGCTCCCCCCGAAGGCCCAGCAGCCTCCTCCCAGATCCCAGGCGCCTCTTGCTCTATGGAGGGGAGAAGATAGCCATCAGCAGAGTTCTTTCTGACTTCCCCATCAAAGCCTGGGGCGTTGGCACCCCTTTCTGCAGGGCCACCAGCTCAGGGAGTTTCAGTCACAGAGACCCATTCAGGGTGGGGGCCTTTGCAAGCACCGGCACCTACTAACATCGCTATCTTCTGATTGCGAACCTTGACATTTGCCTAGGAATTCCAGGCTCCAGGAAGCCCTCTTTGAGAAAGTAACCTTAGGGTGCAGGATTTAACCCAGAACACCTCTCTAGATTATATCTTGGTGGGACCACGCTTATGGGAAGTTTCCAAGTTGCCTGGTTCAA